CCGCCCGGGTGCGTGTGGTACTCGACGGCCGCCCCTCCCCCCGCGAAGAGCTCCCGGGTCCACGTGGAGACCACGAAGGGCAGCGTCGGGTCCGCCTCGCCGTGGGAGATGAGGATGTGGTGCCGCCGCTCCGCGAGGTCCCGGGCCCACTTCTCGACGACGAGGGGCGCGCCGGAGATGTGGAGGATGCCCGCGAGCGGCGCGTCTTTCGGCAGCGACAGCGCGAGGTCCGTGGCCGTCATCGCGCCCTGCGAGAAGCCGCCGAGGACGAGCGCGCCCTGGGGGAACGTTTCGCGCAGCGCGGCGACGAAGGCGAGCCCGTCGGAGCGGCACGCATCGAAGCCCGCGGGCGGCTCGCGGATCAACGACGCGAGCGCGCCCTCGCCGGTCGCGGCCGCCGCGGCCCAGCGGTTCGGGTCGAGGTCCCACCACTGGGGCCCCGCCGACGGGAACGCGAAGACGCAGCGCGTGCCGCCTAAAAGCTGGCCCATGGGGTCGCAGAGCGGCACCAAATCGTCGGGCGGCGCGTTGACGCCGTGGAGCATCGCGACGACGAGGTCGTGCGCGTCGCGCGTCGCGCCGTTCGCGTATTTCACGATCGTGGGCCATTTGCCGAACGTCGCGGTCTCCGGCGCGCCGGGCGCGGGCGCGGGCCGGCGCGCTTTGGCCTCGGCGAGGCGCGCGAGGGCCTCGCGGCTCCGGTTGCGCAGGTCCGCCTTCTCGCAGCAGTCGGCGTGCGAGAGGCCCGCGGACCTGATGAGCTCCTTCATGGCCTTGACGCCCATGCTGTCGACGTCGACGTTGGCGGCCATGGTGCGTGCGCAGCGCGCCGGGCTGCCGGCAGTGCGGCGCTTGATGCGATGACGAGCGCCGCGTGTGGAGCTCTCCACAAGCTTGGCGGCCAAACCCGGTTCAATGATATGCGTTTACCCGACATTGACCCGGGCCCGAGCCGTCGTATGTCGGGCTGGGTCGCGGCCGCCCTGAGGCAGCCTTTCGGGACTCTATGAGCGCGGACGGGGTGTCCGCGACGCCGGACGAACCCGCAGCACCGACCACTGCAACCGACGCGGCTGCTCGCAAGCCGCGCGGACCCGAGGTGATCCTTGTGAGCGACGCCAAGAAGTGCACCGCTGCGGTCGCCGCCGAGGTCCCGAACCAGTGCGACACGAAGCTCTGGGTCGTCGGGAGGACGCCGGAGGGGAAGTACGTGTCCCCGGCGCGCGTCACGGTCGAGAGGCGGCTGTTCCTGCTCCAGTCGGTGCCCGACGGGCTCGTGAAGGGCGAATTCAAACAACCGCGCTGGGGCAAGTTCTCGGCGCTCAAGAAGCCCGACGGCGCGCCGGTCGTCAAGGGCGTCGACTGCTTCGAGGTGCGCACGGCGACG